AAACCATATGAATGCAAGTATTGTAACAAGAAATGTACACAGCAAAGTGACCTTAAAAAACACGAACGTATACACACAGGCATAAAACCATATGAATGCAAGTATTGTAACAAGAAATTTACATGGTCCATTAGTCTGAGAAACCATATAAAACACATTCATTCATAGTCTTTTCAAAGAAAGAATATCAATTCCTGTAATATTTAGGATAGTGTTATTTTCAATATAAATGATAATTATGAAATATAAATTATAATTATGAATGCCAAGCATACATGAACGATTTTTCAGAAAAGATTTTTGTACAGATCACAACAAGTTAAGTTGTCATATTCATATTATGTAGGAGACAATAAAGATCTTTTTTATATATTCTCAATAGTGCATGTGTATAATTGGGACTTCTTAAAAATCGATTACGCAATCACAGAACCCGCTTTCTGGACAGTCGCACTGGCAGTATTGTATTACACACTTGTATCCGAATTTTTATAGCATTTGTTCACGTCATCAGTTGTAGAGTGCACGCCACATAAGCATGAAACAATTCTTAACTGATTAGCGCCTATTAGCGTATTTATCGCTATTATGTTTTTTATTGTCTGTACGCGACTATTACGATCTATTACACTCTAATTATTACACCTTGTTTCACGGGTTTATGAAAACCACTCTAAGACTTAGTTATCAACTAACTAAGAATTTAGTGAGGCATAAACAAAGACAATTTCCTTTCTGGCATTGTGTTCATGCCGCACTGAATTCTTAGTTGATAACTAATTGTTATGAAATGTAGATAGTTAGGAATTGTTTAGCGCTTTTTTGGCGTGCACTCTAAATGTTACCTAATAGCCCTTATTTTACATATATTAGAATTTTACAGAACGCGTATTAATTACTACATCAGCTCAGCGGCTTTCGCACTCAATGTAAAATAACCCCTAGCCACTAAACTTCTTGAAATCAGGAGTAGTTGTACACTCAAGGTTCAACCTCGTTCCCAGGGCCTTATCCCATCGCTTTTCCCGCCTGACCGACCGCCTTACCCCAAGCGAAGGGATAAGGCCATGGGAATGAGGTTGCTCAGGGTTAGTCAGTTATTCCAGGCATCTACAAGGAAAGCATCAAACACTACACCATGATTCACTATCACAAAGTTTTATTCACAAATAAATAGCACGAATAATATACAGGCTCTTAGTCTAGAAACGATTTTTTAATTCGTGTTTTCCTATTTTCATGTTTGTACCCAATTAAAATCCATATTTTTTCAAAGTTTTTTATTCAGCAACAGATTGTCAATCACAGAAAATGAAATATAAGTCAACATGGAAAAATACAAGAATCTTTAAAATCGGAAAGATATCGCGAACACTAAACATAATAAAAAAGTTCGGTGCGCAGAGTTCAGTTGAGTTACGTACCATTTGGATAACTTTAGACTGACTGCAGGATCGAGTTCCTCGTTGGACGCCGGAAGGCAAAGTAATTTTGCTCCGCCACCGAGGAACATCTGCAGGCAGGCTAGATGTCTGAACAGCATTGTATATGTTGCAATTATATTTTATCAAGATTTTTGAAGATTTCTCATTTTTGCCGGTTTTCAGGAGCGCAGTGCTTATTTGGGTACAGGAGCCTACGCCCATTAGAGCACAGTCACATGAACCATGAAATAAAAACTAAAAGTACYARCTAATAGGSACTATTAGTTYCYAATAGTCGTTAGCACTGAACCAGAACAGTTTATTTGATCCAATAAGCAATACCCAAGAGACCATTATAACAATCAAAGTAATCTCTTTGCACTGTTCTGGTTCAGTGATAGTGTCTAAATAGCAACTATTAGTTACTAAGTATTTAGTTCCTATTTCATGGTTCAAGTGACTCTGCTCTATTTCCTTTCTTTGGTTGTCCATAATATCTTGCTGGCTTTACTAAGGCACCTATTTTTCGTGTTTTCTTTGGACATCCTTTTTTGAAGACTAATTACGCTTAATAAAACTCATTAATATTCATAGGCAAAACACAATTGAAATAATAATGAAGATGGTTGTATATTACATACAGATCGCCCGCTCATATTGTATATATTACATAGACATATGCTTTAGAGAAAGGCTATATATTTTCCAAAATATACTCTCAAATGTCATAGTTTTAATTTCTGCCTATTTGACGCAAAATAGATAGGTTTTCATATAGCGACACCAAGAAAACCCTTGAAACCACGCTAACCAAATTCTTGTTCCAAACACTATTACCATAGTTCATTATGAGTTAACTATGCTATGATTCATAGACATTTTAAAATGAGCCACATATTTATTTACAAGAAAAAAAAATACACAACTGCTGCATACTGCATGGCACTTTAAAATAAATGCCTTTCGATTCTGTGTAAYAAATTGTCAATCCTCTAGAAAGCTGCTACCGCGTTTGTTGCATAGGTGGGCTAACACCTCGAACTTCATATGGCAGACCCAAAAACTGATCTGCAATTCGCCCTGCTTCGCGTAAACCACTTAATAAAGCTCCATGTACGGTCGCTGGGTAGTTTCTTATAGTGTGTTCGCCAGCAAAGAAGACCCTTGGAGGGTTGGGAGGCTGGGGGGTTCCTGGTTGAACATTAGTCA